TTGCATCAGCAACATAATCATGATGCTGGTTCCGAAAATGAAAAGTAATTTCAGGAGGAACAGAATATAGCTACAAAGTGATTATTAACACTTACCATGCTGAATTGTTTTCAGAAAAAGTCTAATTTTCGTTTATTTGCAAAAATATGCAAATTATATGCAAATGAGCTTTACCCTGCTGCTGAAGCATATTGATTTCTTTAAATCTAAGGTAGGGGATCACGGGGCAGGGTGGTTGGGGTGAGGAGGTGGGGGTGGGTGGGTGGGTGGGTGGGTGGGTGGGAATTTGCCCCAAAGTTGGTCATCAGGTGCAAAAAGCGTCATTTTTGACGATTTTTCGTCCTATTACTTGACCCCAAAGACCGAGGGATGCTGATATAGGTATCCATCTGTAGTCTGCATGTACAGTGGACCCCAGTAAACACATTAACCCCAACAGTTCTTAGGTTGGAGTGAAACTGATCTGGGAACACCAGTCTAAAGAAGGTCATTTGGACAAAAAATACGGAATTTCACGATTTTTTCCGATTTTGGACTTCAACTGGACCTGAAACCGGAAGTAGTCGTTTCCTCTGCGTATTTCAAAAATAATTATGATCAGTAGATATATGTCTGCGGGTTTACACTATTTTTGAAAGTTTTAGGCCTCTGAACTTCCTGTGTAAGACACAGAAGGGAAGCCCACCCCTCCAGAAAAACCAGTTTTATCCAATTTCAATTTTCCAAGTTTGTATTTGAGCTCAAAATGCTACTTAAACATGAGAAACATGACAATAGATAGCCTCAGGTTGAGGGAACATGCATCCATTTCGAAATAAGTATCATAAAGTTGACCTCTAAAAGTATGGAGAGCCATTAGAGCCAAATAACGGTGGTCTGGGTCATCCCGTCATATGACGGGCTCAGCATGGTAAGGGTTAACATGTTTGTAAGATAGTTTTTAATTTAATTTATTACTTTAGTTTTATTTTTACTAGATTTATCATATTTTTAGTTTTGTAAAATTTTCGACGTGTACGCAACTGCGTTTTTGCGTACGGGTTGCTACGTGCCTGAAATTGAGCATCAAGTCAAGAATTTCAATTGGAAAAAAAATGACTATGCTCATGAATTTTTTTAAAGGAGTATTCTAAGCTGCAAGATATAAAAAAATTAAAATATGATTTTTTTTTTCAATCATTAATGAAAGTGAAATAGTGAAATAACACTTCGCTTTTAGCAGCCAATTTGGTTCAAGTTTGTCAAAATAAGCTAAGAAACATCGCTGATGAATCATTCACTTGCAAGTGAATAATTCGACCTCATTGAATTTGTATTCATGTGACCTTCACTCTAATCTAATTTGCTATCTATTTATATCTATATTTATGTTTATATCAGGTTTTATGACCGTATTTATGTTTATATCAGGTTATATGACCGTCAGCATATGGTTAATCAGATGGGGTCTAGACTAAAATACACACGAAATGCTGAAACATATTAATGAGTCCATGCATCCTACATTGTTTATTTCAGACTTTTTATAATTTGAAAATACATTTTAGTGTGGTATAAATCAAACATGATAATTGGTGTCAAATCGCTGAACATGAATTTGACAGCTGATGCCCCTTTAAGGAGCATTTTTATAATAAATAACAGATAAAATATTAATTTGAACTACTACAATAACATTTTAAGACCATGGAAACTGATGTAAACATACTGTAAATTCAGAAATTATTGTGTGCATTTATTATTGCGATTTTAGAAGAATGGACTAAAATGCGAGATTAATTATTGCGATTTCAGGAAAATCTGCATACAGATATAAGTATCAGGTATCAGAATGCGAGTTCTTATTATTGCAATCTTCAACCACTCGCATTATTCGCATTTATAAAAACCTCGCAATAATTTTTGAATTTACAGTAGTCTGAATAAGCGCTTTTATCTTATGAAGAGAATTTCATTTCTATTGTTTAATTTAATTTAACCTGGTTATCTGCTGGTTTGGATACATTATGTATGTGTATATATACATGGACTTCAAAAGAATTATGGATGATTTTAGTTCATGATCCTTTTCTCTTTACTTTTTTTATTTTCAAACTTGTAATACTATCAAAACTGTGGTGTATAATAAGCCTTTCATATATATAGTTTTCAAAAAGCTAGATCAATAATTTTTGTAGTTAATTGTGTAATCAATTTGATGTATTAACTTCAATGAACCAGCTCAAGTGTACCACTTGTCTATGCAAGTACAAACCAGTTATATCAACAAGAGGCTGAGCTTTGTGGATATCAGTAGATGTAAGAGATCACAACATTCTTTGAACTCTGATGTTGAATGAAAAAGAATGTAAGCTTTCTTTTTACCTAAATTAAATTGGAAAAAAAATATTACCTTGCTTCATATGCAAAATAATAATTTATACAATTGTTTACATCAACTTCACCATCCTAAAAATCTGCCAAAATTCTTAAAATTAGTATAAATAAGTTTGGTTCACATCTAGTGAATTTTGAAATTTGAAATTTAGATTTGAATTTTCCTTGAAGTTCGGTATTTTTGTTAATTTACTTTTTGTTTAATCTTAGTTCTTCATTGGTCAAAATTCAATTATGACCTCAAACTTTCTTGCTTTCCTCTGAATTTCCTATTGTGACATTACTAAAAAAGGTGACCTCACATATAAAGAAAACATCTTTTGCAGATCAGTGAAAGTTTGTCTACATATATACTGTCTTAAAATCATTAGAGAAACAGATTCAACCACCAAATCTTGTGCAATACCATCATTCCTCCACTCCCAACAGTTAAATTTTCAATATTTAAAAAGCTCGGCAAGACTCGCATTTTGAATTTGAAAATTTAACTGTCTAGAGTAGAGAAATATCATTTCCCACTTGATGCAGTGGTAGAATCTATATTTATCAATCACTATATCCTTATTGCAATGCTTTTCCAGTAATAAAACTGCCACCTACTGGTATTGTATGTAAGTTATGAGGGCCCTATAGAAGTTACTGTTTTTTTTGCTTGATATCAAGCTAATGATTGCTAAATATCAGACTGTTACCTAGAGGATATTTATCAAATTCAAAATATTATTTCTTCATTACTCAATAAATATTCAGTTAAGGCTTAACATAATATAGGTTTCAAAAATTAAGAATAGTTATTCGCAATAGGCAAGTAAATGACTAGACACATAATTGTAAAATACACAATATTATCATGCCAAATTATATGAGTGAAATGATTACAGTGTATCAGTCATATTTGTATACTTTTACATATATATACAAATTTAACGTATTTCCATCTTGATAAACAGAGAACCTTTATCTTAAATATGCATTGAATTTCATTTATATTTGGCACTGGCTACGATTACGTTGAAAAGTAACAATAACAAAACAAAATATTGTTATTTGGACACTAATAGCTGAAATGCTATGTTGAGTTAGGAACCGATTTAAATATTTACGAACGTAACAATAATATTTGTGTCTATCAGGTTATGTTTGATTTATTAAAATTTTAAAATGACTTTAGTTTTGTTGCTGAATTCTGCGATATGCTTGATTATTGTCATTATTATTCAACAAATAATGTTTAAATAGTCTGATAGTTTTAAAAATCTAATTATTAATTGTTTCAATTTTCTTCAAGTTAATACAACAGTTTAGTAGAGACAAAGGGCGAAGAATATAGTTCAATGGTTAGATGTTTAGGAGAACATGAAGAAAAGTATTCACTTCTGTGTATTTACCTGCACAATGAGTGAGTGACTTACGCTTATTACTGTTATTATACTTTGAACAATGGAAAAAGTTATTCTTATTACCAATTTTCTATGGGTGAAAAACTAAAAACTTTGGATGCGTTTGAATAAAAAAAAAAAAAATCAAATTTTATGCATGTATATAAACAAAGTTTGCAAAAAATTGATACATCAAAACTTTTGATTTTTTTTTTTCAGAGAAGTTCGGCAGCAGTGAATTAAAATATTGTGAACTTGTGTATGAAATCATGAAAGTATCCATGGAGGACGTAATTTCGTTTCAAAATCAGATGGAGTATGTCTAAACCAAAGTCAGGTGTTTTTCTTCCTATGGTATAACTTCAAAAAAAGGAAATTGCAGAGTGAAACTGTTTAGTGTGCAAAACCGACATGCACATTGCTGCATCTCTCATTTGTGATGGCTACCGTAATGTGTCAGACTAAAACATGCACCCAAAATCACATATTAGATGTGCAGAAGCTGCCATTGTAAGTAAAATATATAATCTGTATGTAATATTGTATACTTGAATTGTTTATGAATAAAAGTTTTCAAGTTGTATTTTATATATATTACACACATATGGGACATACTATATACACATTACTTTTCCCAGCATATATCGAAATGCATTAGGGGCCTTGGTGACCGAGTGGTCTAAGTAGTTACTACTGTAATCACTAGCCAGTCAACACTGAGGTTGTGAGTTCGAACCCCGCTCGTGCGGGTGCACTCAACTCCAATCTTTATTGACTAGGATTGTCAGTTTTCCTATCGAAGGTCGTGGTTTTCTCCGGGCACTCCGCCTTCCTCCACCAATAAAAACTGGCCGCCACGAAATAGCCCAAAAGCGGTGCTTAAAAGTGGCATTAAAACACCACAAATTAAAAAAAAATCACAATTGAAATGCATTAACGTAACAATAACACAACGTAACGGTAAACACAAATATTATTGTTAAGTTCGTAATTAATCAGTTACCAACCCAACCTAGCATTCTGGCAATTAGTGTCCAACGTAACAATAACTTTTTTGTTATTGTTACATATTCAACCTAATCGTAGCCAGTGCCTTTATATTTTATAAACAAATTCAAATCGTTCAGTTTATATTTTTCTTTTCCCAAAATTGAAAGTAACATCAATATCAATTTTACACTATGTTTTTTTAAATAAGAATGGAATACCATTTATTCAATCTGTATCATAACACAATATAAATACCTTTTGGGTGTCCATAACAGATAGTATTTTCTGTGTCACTGCAGGGTTTGAATTCTGCCTGGCCTGATGAACATTTGGTACAACGTTTACATGGCAATGTTGCACTTTTAACATCAGAGTAAGTCCCATTAGGACATTTGAGACAAATAGAGTTCTGTAATCTATTGCAGGGAATGATGGCACCATATCCGATTGGACAAAAATTACACAATGAACATTCTTTAGCTACAGTATGGAAGTAAAAGTCAACATTACATTCACAGATGGTATCTTCTGTAACTGTGCATTGTGTTTTCACGTGAGAATCTTTTTTACATTCAGAACAATTTTGACACTTCTCTGTATGCCAGAAATCTGGTGAAAATGTCCGTCCTTGTACACAAGATCCACACTGCGTATCATTACCATGAGAGCAATCATGAATTAATCCCTGTCCAGGTGGACATTTATTGCAGCACCTCTTCCCATTGAAGGCATAAGCTTGTTCTTTACAGTCTAATGCAGAGCACACTCTAACCTGTCAATGTAGATATAATACAATTATTTCATATTTATTTGTTTATTGGTTTTGATAATGATTTGTTAAGGGGACAACTATTTAATTTTCTGGGGGATGGGGATTTTGAAAATTATCCTGGACTGGTAAGAGCTGGAAATAACTATACAAATCCTTGAACAGGATGAAAATGAATATTCTGTCACACAAAACGCAACAGTTGAGTGCCAAAGTGAAAATACATTTTCCGCGGAAAGAGAAAAAAGCATGCGTAGCAACGATTTGTAAGCAGTATACAAATCATTGTGCGTAGTAACAGATGAACTACAATAAATCCTCCTGACCGGGCCCCCCACAGACAATATCCTCCTGACCAAGCCCTCCACAGACAAAGACAAACATTAACAGTTATACATACCTTAAACTTTTGGGCAGAGACTATCACAGTAATAGCGTTTTGAACTTAAATTGCTAAAAACAACCATTGACCTCCGAATCAGTGGATGGTACTGAAATCAGTATTCCAGCTAGAAATTGAAAGGGACAGGGTGCCAATGGAGGGCAGCCTGGGCTGGGCACTTTTTAAGGTTGGGATAGGACAATTCTCAAATTTTTTTGGGTCTACGTTTCTGTGTGTATCCATATTAATTGGATTTTTCGTCACATGTTCACTTTGTTTATTACTGCATATGTTGACAAAATAGATTCATAAGTTGTTGTTTTGGTTAGGGAGCTACCATTTGATTTTTATTCGGGGGCTAGGATGAAATTTGAAAAAAATAGGCAGGACAGGAGTTTTGAGTAAAAAAAAAGGCAGAATGAGATTATTTGCAAAAAAAAAAAGGCAGGATGACAATTTAGTTAAATAAAAAAGTCAGGATAAACTAAAAAAAAAAGGCAGGACCGAATAGAGTGAAAAATAAAAAGGCAGGATCGAATACAGGGAGAAATAAAAAGGCAGGACAAAATTTTTCATCCTAACCCCCCCATAAAAATCAAATGGTAGCTCCCTTATTCTGTATAAAATGTGCATTAAAGAAGTCATGCATACATTGTCAATTTACATACCAGATGCGGATCATGCCAGGATTTTGAAAATAGGGGCCCCAAACTAGGCAACGTTTGGAGTGGAACATTAACATTATGCGTTAACCATAAATGTAGCACCATAAGGGGAACCCGGGCACCCAGCCCCCTAAATCCTACTCTGCCGAATACACGGTGACATCCATACTTCACATCATTATAGACAAAAAGAAACAAAATGAAACTAAAAACTCACAGACTTAGTAGTAGCAGTTAACTCACTCATAGAAGCAGAAACCCTCAAAAATGAATTCAAAAAAATTAGAGAATCAATTTACGTTTTTTTTTTGTATTTTTTTTTTATCAATACAAAGTATTTTTCTTTAACAACAATTTTTAATAAATGCAAAATACGCTATATTTAAAAGATAGTTGTACATCCGAACTTTATTTGAATAGAAATATTTTCATTCCGATGTTCAAATTATTCTTGATTAATGGTCGTTTTCAATTGTTTTAAATAAAGAGTTTTGGGGGGAAAGTTGGTTAGTTGTGACAAGGATTTGTATACATATCCTTGGTTGTGAATAAATACACTTTCTTCAAATTACTGTCTCGGTGGTCTCGTGTGCGGGAGGTCGTGGGTTCAAACCCCGGCCGGGTAAACTCAATTTAAATACTTTAAAATTGGTATTTTCTAAGCATTCGGCATTTAGGAGTAAGAGCAGACTGGTCGGCTCGTAGTCAGAATAATGTGTCTGGGTACGGTGACATGTGTTCCTCCGGACTGTTTGTTAACTTATGAACTTACAAAAAGTATATGGTTAATAGGCATATTACATTAACATGTTCTCGTCCTAAATATATGAGGGGCCTGGTGGGTTATTTTCGTACTTCGTGATCGGCGCATTTTCGCTATCGTGATCTGTTATTCTACAGATTTTTTTTTTTTTATTTTCGTGATCCGTGATCATGGAAATTTATTTTCTGTGAATCGTGATTGACAAAAAAATCAACTCGTGAATCGTGATGAGACCCCCCCCCCCCCCCCCCCCCCCCCCATCAGGCCCCTCATATATGTAGTTAATTTGCCGCTGGACGTTAAGCACCTATCAACGCCCCCTTGGTATCTTCAGCCTCTTTTATTTATCAACTTTCGAAATAAAAAATATTCCTGTCCCGTTTGTAGTACCAATTTGTGTTTCGGTGCATCCACCAAACTATTCGTCTTCGTCTTATTTCCATACAATTTGTGAGTAATTTACCGTCTGAGGTAGGGATGTGCAGCTGAGACATCGAGTATCCACCCTTTTCATATATTTTGAATGCTAAAAAAATCACACCCTATCATTAGTTTTTGACAAGACTTAGCTATATATTACGCTATTCATAGAGAGTAAACATAGATTCATGAAATATCTATAATACCAAAATCAGAGACATATATACACATATATATGTCTCTGCTAAAATAACGAGGTCCAATTTGTTAGCCGGCATAGGGTAAAAACGACGAATCAAATAATTCAACTTTGTATATAACTAATATACATGTAGGACAATGGGTAGATTAAAATTACACCATTCCCGGTCCTTTTTTCCACATTATTAATATTCCCAAAAATTAACAAATATCGGGCCAAATCGATACCGAAACCAATAGTATATGTCACCTGTTACCTATTACCTAATCTGTACTTTCCGCACCTGTCAGGCGCACCACCTAACGATGTATTTGGGATTTGCAATATACACGGGTCATATCACACCTAAGTGTTGATTAAAAATTACATCATTCCAGGCCCTTTTGTTTTTCCAAATAATTAATATTACCAATAATTTATAAGTTCCAGGTCGACGGGTTCAAACAAAAAGATTTTGAAAGTAGAGAAAACCGTGCATCTTATAATCATAATGACTTTAGCAGATGACAATACCAATACTAAAAATCCAGGCTAAGAATAAGGCTTATATACATATATATAGATACTTTAATTCAGTTACGGACCCGCGATGTCGCGGGTGTGTTCAATCTAATCTAAATTTCTCAACTTAATAATGCTATAAAGCTTGAAAAAAAATACCTATTCAAACGGCTCATCACAACCACTGGTATAGAAGGACGTTAGATGCCAAAGTTTTGTATCCAATCTAAATCACTCGGCTAGTCAGTGTTTTGGTTATAGAAAAACTTGGTTCATAATAAATTTCAAGCCCATACAGTCGTCAAAGGTCACACCATAATAAGACAAGCTTACTGGTAACGAATTACTTGACCTTTAATCATATATTCATCAATCAAATGCTTGAACATGGGCAAAACTTTAACTCTATTAAATTTCAAGGAACTTAAACTCTATTAAATTTCAAGGTCAGAGGGTCAAATGTCAAGGTTTCATATTAAAAGCTTGTAGGAGCTATCGATCTCGCCAAACCTTGTTTGGAAGATCCTGGTCTAAATTGTATGTCAGTCATAGGTCAAGGTGGAGCCTGGGCACGATAAAGTCAATGATTAGCGGGGAATGTTCCGTATATGTCGAAATCTTGCGAATATTAAAAAAGAGGGACACTCCAAATCTAATTACTTAAGACCCTAAAAGTTGAAATGGGGAGATTTATACCAAAAGACCAAATGTTGTATCACTGCTGTAATTAACTGGATGATGAATACCACTTTTCTTCCTGATGGTTTCTGGCTGAACTCGACTTTAAGAGACAAGTTATTCTTAATAAAAACAACTGCCGATGGCGGGATCGTAGGTGTGCCCTACTTGACCCACCACTGATATAAGTTTAAGGCATCAACAATTCTCTAATTTTATTGTTTTTTAACCAATTTTCAATGAAATAAAAGTGGCAGTGTCCTCTGGCAATGATCATATCTTTGTCAAGAGTTTAGCACCTGTCCGAGTTGAACATATTAAAAAATTCAATACAGGAAAGTAAAATTAGCAGTTGACCCAAGATAAACAGATAAAACGTGTTAGTTTTTGTCCTTGGGGTGAAATCTGGTTGATTTTTATTTCCGTGTTTCTAGAGCCCAGGATACAACAAAGAGAACAAATTTAATAGTCCGTGTCCCCGAGTAAAAAGTAACACTTAAAATCACATCTAAATTTTTATTGTACATCTTCTGTTCGGTCATTTTGATTAGAATGATATAGAGAATGACGCAAAGTAAAGGTATCAATTCAATAAATTGTTATTTCACACAGAATAATTAATGATTTTATACTAATAACAGGTGTTTCAATTACCCTAGAATTGCTTTCAATTAATTAAATCAATTATTGATCGACTGAAAAACATAACAGAAATAGCCAAATCTTTGATTTTTAATATCCGAAATGCTTGCGTCAACAGTTTTAAAATTGAATTTTACCAGCTTCTATCTTGTCCTTTATCGAACACCATTATCTGGTATGTTTTCCTATTCGTCGTGCGATCATTTCCCATCCCTTTTCCTATTTTGTAACATTTAATGATGGAGATGCATGCAATCGAGGGAAAACAATCGTGCTATGGACTGTATATATTGATTAAAGGAAAACATTACGTTCGGAACCAAACCGTCATAAAAAATATAATTGTATTTGACTTTGATCTTCACTATTACATTTAAGTTAAGTTATGCTTCAGCAACCAAACGCTGTTAATTATGACTGAAATTCTCATCAGAGAAAATAAGATGCACACGAATGCTATTAACAAGTATTATAGCTTTGAGAAGATATCTTTAATGTTTGGTTGCATGGAAACTTTAGGTAGACTGATCGTGTTACTTCATGATATATCGAGATAATGTTATATTCATTGAGTCCTTGTGTTTCAATCGAGATTCATATGCTACATTTGACGTAAAATCTTTGAATTTGATGAAAACAAAACTGTCAAATACATATTTTATATGTTGACATTAAAGGAATGCCTTATGAGTTGTATTCTTTTATTTATTTACCTACCCTGGATTTTTTTCAATTAATGTTTTACGAACTTTTCTGCAGTAAAATTTTTATCCTCGATTGGAATTTTTCAAAGTACTTTATATCATCCGATGGTAAAATTTGATGAGTGGACTTATTGTTTCATTTTTGTGTGTACGAGTATAAACAAGGATTTGTATAGTCTTTTTACACAATTCTTTAGTATAACTCAGTCTATAATCAAGAAATACACATGTATTGCCAGAGCGGTTGAAGGCATATAAACAATACAAAATGAATATGCAGGTGTGGAGTCCCCCTTCTCAGTGCAACCAACTTTTTAAGGAATGCCATGACCAGTAATGTCTTATTGTTATATCTATTGTATGATTGGTACAGCGACGTCCATAATGAAAGGTCAAACTACAAGTACTTTAGGAAATTAATAAATGCTGAATCCAACAATTTCATATAATGGTGCATAAACATATGAAACTTTAGCGTGCATGTATTTTTGAGACAGCGGAAAGAAAGAAAACATAAGTTAAATCAGAGAACTGGTTAAATTTCACCAGCAGATCTTTGTTTTGTCCCATAACACGTACCATGCAGAATGTGTATGTATAAAATAGGACTTTCCATTAAAAAATATTTTGAACAAAATTAAACATTTAATATGTTTAATAACAAATTTAGACACATAATTGATATGTGAATGGGAACTGAAAGTACCATGTAAAATAACCCTTTAGAGGAAGAACGATTATTTTTTACACCAGAAAATATAAACTTCAATCACTTTAATTAGTGTAGAAATAGGCTAAAACATTTTTTCTATATTAACACTATGATTCAGACAACATAAATAATCACTCACCAAAATCCAACAAAATAATCCAAGCAGACAAGCAATATTTTCCATTGCGACTCTTCTCACTTTACTTTATTATGATTTGTCAGTTTATATCATATTTTCATACCTGAATCAAATGACCTTTGATGAACTTTAGAATCAGATGATTGGATGATTCTGTTAATCGTGTACTGTCGGAGTAGGCGGAATTTAACGAGATTTCTTAATATAAAAATATTGGTAGAGTTAATGAGCCGAGCACCAATATCTGTGTTACAAGACCGGGAAAACAATCAATTAGCGTATAAAACGATTCCCCGTATATATGGTTCACCGCGCATTCTGTCATAATGTTTGAATTTCTCATAAATATCTTATGAAAAGAAAAAAGTTTTAAGAAAAGAAAGAAAGTGACTTTTCATCACAGATAATATAAAAGAAAGTAATAAAGGAAAGCTTGAACTTATGAAGTGTGAAAACTATACAAATTCATTCTTTCAAAACACTCTATATTAGATCTTAAGACTTTTTAATCATAAATATTTGACAGAGTAAAAGTAAAAAATATCATTTCAACCAATTTATTCCTAAATCTTTGTTCTTTCTCCGATATGTATACCTTAACATTGAGTTTTTTGGCTCATCTGACCAAATGCAAGGAAGTCTTACATTATGAATTCTTGCCAAAGGCTAGGCATCAGCCCTTATTACAATAACAAGGGGATAAGTTTTGTCATAATGTATTTTAGTTATTTATAAATGACTTAACAGAGTATCTAGACCTATCACACTAAATGACAAACCATTGGATTGCTTATTATTTGAAGACGATTATCGAGAAACTTACGAAAAAAGTTTTAAGATAGAATTCTATAGATTTAATATGGCACGCCTGTGACATAGTATATTGACAGTTAAAGTCGTGACTCAGATTGAAAACTAAGAACTTATGTTCAGTTTAAATCGTATTTTGGATGAGAAACATATCGTGCCATTATGGTCAGTTTCGAAACACTGGATTAGAAGGAAAGCCTTGCAAAGTGGTAGGGACCATGGGAAGAACGTCAATTAGATAGCAAGCCTTTAGAACAATGTCATGCATCATATAAAACAAAAAATAACTCAAGTTTACTTTTAAACAAAACTTTTTGTTTCTATATTTATCTGCTGAAAACTTAATTTCTGTATGTAAATTGTACTGATGACCGGTTAATTAAAATTGCAATCTCATGAAGGGTTGTATAATATATCTAGTAATTTGAATTATACATTGATTGTAGGTTTTCCTACTGCAAGAGACGTAAAAGGACAGTGCTCAATGAACTATATGTTGCAGTCTTAGTCACAATCGGATATATGAATAAATGTACGCCTTGATTAACGTCCACTGGAAAATGTTCCATGCATATTTAGGACCAAAACAAATTAACAATTATACAATTGGAATGGTAAATCGACTACAATTGAATGATAGTTTCTTACTTAATGTCCAGTGGCAATCATTTCATGCTTATTCAGGATAAGAAACTATTAACAATTGATATGATAGGTACGTCTGCAGAAAAGGAAAAAGAAAAATTTGCATGACTGCCAATAGAAAACAATGTTATACTAGAAAGTTTGCCTTACAACAGACCACTTACGGATCCCTCTCAATAGTTGTTACCGAGTGGTCATTCTATGCGAAGAGAACACGTGACACTCGGTGAACGAGGCATCTAATTTTACCGATACCATTTCGGCTGGACTTGACTGCACATCTCTACACCGCGTACAGTCAAATGGACGTCCCACTTTAACAAGGGTTTACTGTCCGACGGGAGAAGTATAGGGATGACAATATTGCCAACCCGTCAATCCTTGGGGTTTTAATAAAAGTAGATATGAATTATAATTTTATGGGGCAGAAAATAAACGATCCATTTACTAAAAAAAATGTGAGAAATCCACATGCAATTCAAAAATAAGATGCTATCTGCATTAACAATGTTTATAGCATGCAGGTCTCCTAACCTCTGAAATTACAAATAGTTAATGTCAATGCCAGACTAGCACCCCTTTGTCTCTCAAATCATACGAGATAAAAATCGTCTGGGACATACTCCTGACCACAGAAAACTATCCCCCTTCACTTGCCAATCAAATAAGATATCAGATGAGTTCTGTCAAATGAATATCATTTACCAATTTATTGATATCTATTAATATCATTATTTTGTATAATCTAACTAATGATTGGTTCAGAGAGATGTAATGCTTCATGACCGATGACAACTCTTTCCTTCTCGTATAATGAATCAAATGATGTATACAAATAAAATGAAATTAAGACTTTCCTTATTTACTGTATTGTTTGCCATTGGTATAAATCATCATTTAGGGGCAATAACTCCTATAAGGTGTTATTAAAGATTTCTGCAATATCGAATTATTTTTAGATTATGTCTTGCTGATCATTTCTGCTATTTAAAGTTTCTATTTATCTATTATAGTTTTCAAGAGGGTATCGTTAGCTCAGTAGTCAGTACTTCGGTTCTGACATGATTTATAACAAACCATTCTAAAATTGTCCGTTAATAAATTTTTAAATTATAAAGTTACTAAGGTTTTAACTCCCTCAGGCAAAGTTGACCATAGATGGATTTGTCTACCTTTTAGGTCCTTTTTGGTCATATATTTTTTCAACTGTTTCGGTTCTTATACAGCCTTGGCTTTCAAATATTCAGCTTTGAGCGTTCCTGATGAAGGTAAATCCAGAAAAGCGCTTCGGACGCATGAAATTTATAACGTGTTGTTTTTCAATTTATAATAGGCAAACTAAAGGCTCTAAAGATCAAGTGTAGCTCACCTTAGGTCTTTGTGAATCTTCAACAATGGACACTCTCCTTCATTGCAGACAAGGATATAATTCATGATTAAAATCTATTTTTTGTTGTTCTTGTATATTGCTGATCATTTTTCTGTTTTCGTCTATACTTTTGGTCCAAATCACAAAAAAAAAGGTGAAAAAAATCCTCATATAAGGGCAGTACCTCTTGTAATAAGACAATTTCAAGTATGCTGATCTATTTGCAGATCATTTTTGCTACTTCAAAGGCCTATCTTTTACAATTTTCAAGACAATAGACAAAAACATAAAAAATTGGTAAAAATCTGAAAAAAATCGTCATTAAAGAGCAATAATTCCAGTAAGGAGTCAAATGAGGATTTCAGTCCTGATGACTTATTTGTAGATCTTGTCTTGCTCATCATTTTTGCTATTCAAAGTTTCTATCTACATTTATCTGTCATAGTTTTCAAGATAATAAGAATGAAAACTAAAAAAAAGTAAAAATCGTCATTTAAGGGCACTAACTCCAATAAGGAGTTGACTGACGATTTCTGCCATGCTGACTTGTTTGTAAATTTTTTCTTGCTGCTATTTTTTGCTGTATAGAGAATCTCTCTATCTATGTTACTTTCAAGATGATAGGTAAAATTGAAAAAAAAGGTAAAATTCCTCATTTAAGGGCAATAACTCCTATAAGAAGTTGTCCAACAATTTTGATGTAAATGGACAGTACTTTGAATATTTCTGCCCCTGTCAGATTTTCTATAGCGGTTTTGAAGATAAAAAACAAAATTTGCATTCAACTCATATGTTCTATTTTTTGCCATGTTGGTTGGCAGGCGGGGTCATTGGACAAATTTTTCAAACTAGATACCCCAATGGTTGTGATTGAATTTATGTTGAAATATAAAAATAAGGAGATGTGGTATGATTGCCAATGAGACAACTTGCTATTCAAAGTTTCTATCTACTATCCACCAAAGTCCAAATGAAGTGGATGTAACTGTGCAATTATAGGCAACCGCACGACCTTCAACAATGAGAAAACACGTCTGTAATATGAAGGTTTTACTACAAGTATCCCATAAATTTCACATTATCAATGTTCTATGCAAATGAGGTCACGGTCAGATGAACCATGCCAGACAGACATGTACACCTTACAATCATTCCACACACCAAATATAGTGGTCCTATCGCTGATAGTACCTGAGAAACAGATCAAACCACAAACACTAATCATTGTCCAATGGACCATGAAAATGAGGTCAAGGTCAGGTGAAACCTGAAAGTGGGACATGTACACCTTACAATCATTCCATATACCAAATATAATGGCTCTATTGCTTATACTATCTCAGAAATAGACCAAACCACGAAAACTAAACATTGTCCAATGAACAATGAAATTGAGGTCAAGGGCAGATGAAACTTGCCAGTCGGACATGTACACCTAACAATCATTCCATAAACCAAATATGGTTGACCTATTGCTTATAGCATCTGAGGTACGGACTTGACCACATAACTTTAAACTTAATTAGATATGTCCTATTTTCGGTGCAAAATATAGTTAGCATGCATTTTGTGTCCGGGGATACATGGACATGTATGTATGGCTTCACCAAAAAGAGTACAAATATAAACAGCGTTATATCTATATATAAACAATCAATAATAGTGGATACAGTTACCCAGTGCTATTTCTTATATAAAACTTAGGATTCAGGCGGACACAGCTGGACACAATGTTATTTCTATATAAAATATATAAAAACTAGTGACTACAGACGGACACAAGTGGACACAACGTAATATCTATATAAAACTTATAGAATCTGCTAGCTTCAGGCGGACACAGCTGGACACAGTGCTATTTCTATATAAAACTTAAAGATATAGGGGGAGATATGCGGACACAAGTGGACACAACGTAATATCTATATAAAACTTATAGAATCTGCTGGCTACAGGCGGACACAGCTGGACACAGTGCAATTCCTTTATAAAAATTATAAAAAATGGGGATACAGGCGGACACAAGTGGACACAACGTAATTTTTATATAAAACTTATAGAATCTGCTGGCTACAGGCGGCCACAGCTGGACACAGTCAGTGGCGGATCCAGAACTTTTCATAAGGGGGGGGACCGCTGACTGACCTAAGGGGGGGCCCGCTCCAGTCATTCTTCAGTGATTCCCTATATAATCAACCAAATTTTTCCCACAAAAGGGGAGGCCCGGGCCCCCCAGGCTCCCCCCCCCCCCCCCCCCCTGATCCGCCTATGA